GGAATCTTGAGATTTTACCTAATGGTTCAGTTAATGGGAGACGCTATCCCAAATATAGGAACTGAGAATCCATACAAAAAATTCGTAATACTTATCTGGAATAGTTGTAAACCATATTAGCCTGCTCATCTGTGACCTTCAAAGACAGCAGTACTGTTCCAGGAATATACACAGCTAAGCATTTACTTAATTCATATTTCCAAGACATGGAGCCTCTGCCTCTAGGCAGTGAGTTTGGGGAAAATATGTGCTAGAATGAGGAAGGTAACATAACCTAGACTGAAGGTCTTGCTATTACTCATGGGTCCATTTGAAGGGAAGTGAAATATCTGGGGCCATGTGATACCATCATATGCTGAAAGAGCTACCTGTGTTCACCTCCTTTATTGAATGACTTTCTAGGCGAGAGTCAGTCTTATTGGGACCTCTTTGTGGGGAGCATTATGAATAACTGATTTGCCAGTTATGGTGAGGGTCTATAAGCATTAAAATGCCCTGCCTTATTATTAGTTATTAAAGACACTTAGGGGAGTGACTTAATCTGAATCGGAAGTGATTCTGAAGGTGGTGACAGTTTGCTAGAGTGTACATTAGGTGGCTTTTGTTGTGATGGTGTTTAGAGCCACATCTTTGTCCCTGGATATTCACATGTATGCATTTACTTTTCATTCCTTTGGCTTCATGTATTAAATGTAAGATGTTTGATGAGTGAGGTCGCAACAGAACTTCTTTTCCTGGGGACTGGAATGCAATTGCACATACACTGAACCACTACCAGCAACCTTCCTGCCCTGCCAGCCCTCCACCCTGATCGGCAGCACATGGCTTAGCATGTCATCAGTGACACTCAGGGACTCTGGGGCAGGCCTGGGATTCTTCAGATGGGGCTGAGGGCCTTCAGGGATCTGTGAACCAACCTTCTGAAATGGTAATCAAAAGTATGTGTGTATGTGTCTCTATCCCATCTCCCCAGAGTGAGTTCATAAAGCTTCTAGCAAAATTAGGTGACTCCACAACAAAGGTCAGGAGCAGCTTTGCCCTCTGCATGTAACTGTCCTGTCAGTACGCATTTACAAAGGAGAATACTGGCTTAAAGTGCAGGCTGCATGTTGATTGGCTGGGAACAGGGAAATTGTACTGAGCACACCCGGAGTAAAAATTTTTTTCATTTTCAAATGTTAAAAAAAAGGAAAAAGCTGATCAAGCTAAAAAGTCTGCACATAGTAGCAGGGGTAGCTTTTACTGTAATAAAGAGAAAAATGAGGCCTCCTCGCTAGGTACTTATGAGGTGATATGACTCACACACCTAAACTAGTGCACAGTAGGTGCTTAATATCCGGAAGTTCCCACCGTACCCCATTAACCCCATTATGTCTGTGCCTCCAAGGACAGGGTCAGCTTGACTGCTAGCCTTTTCCCCAGAATTTGATGGGGGGGCTTTCTCTTTCTGGGGCACTCCATACTAGGCAGGTGTACACAGACAGGCACGCCTCTAGGTGGGGTCTGAGCAGCACCCCCAGAGTTGTGCAACTCACTGGCCCCTCTTTATTCCTCACTTTCTTGTTTGATGGCCCTTTTAGCAGCTACCATTAGTTGACTTGAAGTGAAGGAGATAACCTTGCAGAGGCTGACTGGGCCTCATCCAGTCCATCGGAAGGCCTTTTTTGGGCCACTGTTGATTGTGTTCTGCAGGCATCAGATCTACACCACTTACCCTTGTCAACACATCTGGGGCTCCCCTTGCTGCTTCTAGCTCAGTCTCATCTGTTTTACTTCTCTCCCGTCACTCCTGACTCCTGTCACTTCTCTTGCACTCCTGAGCTTTTGTTAGAAGAGGATTGGCTGGCCCAGAGAGGGACTCCTCTCCGTGGGAAGTATAAAATGAGCTAATCACAAAGCTGTAGGTATGTATTTTTCCCAAGGACATCCAGCTTGGCTGTCTCTTCACTGTCACCGAAAAGTGCCTGTGTGCATTCGCTGTTTTGTTTTCTGCTAGCCGTGTTGTTTTCAGCCAATTCTAAGTCAGGGTTACATTAGAATTCATGTGGCTGCACATTAGAATCCTCTGGGCAGCTGCAAATCCCGATGCTCACCACCCACCCGAATAATTAAATAAGCAAATCTTGAGGCGGGACTTGGCTTCTTTATTTTTTAAAGCTCCCTTGGTGAGTGATTCCAAAGTTGAGAATCATACTAAGATAGGCTAAAATCCTAAAATGCTAGAAAACTGAATCCCAATGCACGGAGGCTTGATTTTCTAAACCCTATCAGACTTTTGATTTTACATTTGAAAACAACAGAGCTTCCCAACCAGCATATAGATATATTTGTCTGAAACATATTTTTTTTTTGAGAGGGCATCTCTCATATTTATTGATCAAATGGTTGTTAACAACAATAAAATTCAGTATAGGGGGGTCAATGCTCAATGCACAATCATTAATCCATCTCAAGCCTAACTCTCGTCAGTCTCCAATCTTCTGAAGCATAACGAACAAGTTCTTACATGGTGAACGAATTCTTACATAGTGAATAAATTCTTACATGGTGAACAGTACAAGGGCATTCATCACAGAAACTTTCGGTTTTGATCATGCATTATGACCTATAAACAATCAGGTCAAATATGAATATTCGTTTGATTTTTGTACTTGATTTATATGTTGATCCCACATTTCTTCTATTATTATTATTATTTTTATTTTTAATAAAATGCTGAAGTGGTAGGTAGATGCAAGATAAAGGTAGAAAACATAGTTTAGTGTTGTAGGAGAGCAATTGTAGATGATCAGGTGTGTGCCTGTAGACTATGTGTTAATCCAAGCTAGACAAGGGCAATAAACCATCCACGGATGCAGAAGATTGAAACATATTTTAAAGAAAGAAAGACAAGAAGAAAACCAAATGAACAAAATATGGCCTAACTTTTTCTATGTTGTTTTCCCCATGTCCTGTAGGGAAACGTCAAGGGTTAAATTAGTTGTTTCACAAATGGAATCAGATCTAACAATTGTAGAAAAAAATATATCCTCCTTGTTGCCTTAGTGCCAAATTGAACACACGGTTCAGGGAGCAATCTTGCCTGTATTTTTAGCTAAGCATAGAGCTCTGGTCTGGGAGACATTGAGAATTTCAAAATAGTTTGTTACCTAAAAATACACTTCCTGAAATGAACTTGAGGCCTGAGAGGGATGAATGGGTTTATTTATTTTTTTCTTCTATATTTAATGTTACCACAAGAAAGCAAGTCTTCAATTTATATATGTTTATATTTTTAGAGACCCAGGAAACAGGTGCTATGCCAAGCGACAGAGGGCTGCATGGCTAAGTGCCGATGACAGAAATCTGAAATTCACAGGACAGGGAGCAACTGTGGGAGGGAGTTGACAGTTCTTCTGGCTTCAGCCACAGCATACTTAGCTCAGGGGGAAGATGAAGAGGCCTTTCTCAGGCCCTACCAAGGATGACACCTGGGAGAGGCCCACCTCCCCATTTAAGGGCCTAATGGTGGCTAGACATTTGGTCTAGACACTTGATCTTTCTTAGTCTAGCATGTGTCTGTAAGTTCCTATCTGTTGACCAAATGCCTACTTTCCTTGTCTCACCCCACTGGACTCTCCAAATTTATGCCTTTATTACCACCACTGCCAACAGAAATGGATCTCATGGAGGAAAAAGATGGGGAAGTTGTTATGCTTTTTCAGTGCCTTTCAGTGTGCAGCATGGATGTGTCAAAGAGCAGTGTGTCTGCAGGATGTCATTCATAAGTGTGATTGCATGTTGCATTTATTATCACAGCCTTCTGAATTCTTAGATGAAGTTCTGTGTCCTTTGCCCCTTGGTATAAAGGGCCAAACGTGAACTTGTACTCATCCCTCTATCTATTCATCCATTCACGTATTAATTCAACATGTATTTTCTGATACCTTCTCTGTGATGGTGTGATGGTCCCTCCTCTTGGCACTGGAGACACAGTACATAAGAAGGCAGAAAGTCTCCCAGAGTTTGCGTTCTGGTGGGTAGATGATAAGTGCATTAAATGATAGAGACAGTTGTGCAGAAGCTAAAGCAGGATCCTGTGGTTGTCACCTGTGGGCCACTTGAGGATGAAGAGGTGACGTTTAACCAGCAACCAGATAAAACCCAGGCACAGGGTATAGCCAGTGAAAGGCATGTGGTAGGAAGGGGGTTGGCTTCTTCCATAAAGACCCATGTGCCCTACAAAGTACTGGGTAAGAAGTCAAGGCTCGTGGTGGCTGGTGAGGGAAGAAGCATAGGTGGCAGGCTGTAGACCTTGGGGTGGGGCTCTGCTCCCCCTCACCTGCAGGACCCCAGGGCCTCACATGTCACCTGTGTCGGAATTGTGTCTAGGAGCACTCAGTCAGCACTGGGTAAGCAACTGGTCCCCCTCAAAGACAAGTAGGAGCCAGGTCCTTGCAGAGTAGGGCCTTACAGCTCTTTCCTAGGTCAGGAAAACAATGGCAACATCCTGGCCAACAGCCTTTTGCTCTTCACAGCTTTGCTCCATGCTGACCTCTCCGCCCATCTGGGTGGTGACTCTTCTCTGGCCCCCAAATCCTCTGTGATTCCTTCTAGTTGGGGTCACCCTGCCTTCATCTATCTCCTCACCCATCCACCCAGCTGAGCTGTAATTTCCTTTAGGGCGTTTTCCACTGTGTCCCATGCCCAGTACTATGCAAGGGCCGGTGCAATCTGTGTTTCTGGATTGAATGGTAAGGTTTTGTAGCACGAGGCCTTATGGTAATCACTGACAAACACAAGAAGTTATTCGGCCCTCATCCCCAGTTATCCCTACCCTGCACCGGCTTTCATTACATATGACACACATAAAGTAAATTCTAATCCGATGCAAAGGCATTTATTTTGCCTTTCTCTGTGTTCATTCTCATGGTATCAGGTTCCTTAGAAACTGAACATCATCAGAAACTCATTGGCAGTCTACCTGGCAGTTAATCCATGTCTTTCTTTTCCCTCTCTAGTTAATAATGACTTGATGGCTGCTGACAGCAATGGCGCAATCAAGTTCCCGCCCTTGTGTAAGTTCTGCGATGTGAGGACATCCACCTGTGACAACCAGAAGTCCTGCCTGAGCAACTGCAGCATCACAGCTATCTGCGAGACGCCGCACGAGGTCTGCGTGGCCATCTGGTAGGGCGGCCCTCAGAAAGGCCTTTCCCTTTTTCCTTCAGTAAGCGGTGCTTGCTCATGACCCCAAGCGAAGTGTCCACACACCCGAAGCACAGGTGCTTGTCTTGTGCCCCTTTCTTTCAGACCATCTCTCCTGCAGTTATCAAATGTAGTTCCCAGTGCTATGTTATACATTTCCAAATAAGCACACATATGTCTGTGTAAGAACATTCTATGAGATGACCTTTAATATTTGTAATAAGTCTGAAGACCTTGCCTTGTATGAAGGAGAAAGACTGGCTACTTGTCATTTCATTGACAGCCCCTCGATACCCCAGAATGACACCAGGGCACTTATTCTTTGTGGCAATCTCAGTCCGGGTTGTGGAAGAAGAGGAGATGAAAGGTGGGCTTTCAGAGCAGGAAAGGGCTTGTCAGAAAAAGAGAAGCTCTTCAGGGACCAGAAAAACAAACCAATCCTTAGCTGATCAGAAGCCCTGGCCACGTCATTCCACCACTACCAGGCTACACACTGCATCTTTCTCTTGGATAGAACTACATATTTCTTTGATCAGATACCCTCCATTTTCTGTCTGTCTGTCTTTTTCTGTCTCTCTATCTCCCTCATCCCCCTCTTCAATACACACACACACACACACACACACACACACGGTACTCCTGAATCATTTGATTAATTCATAGTTATGGATTGCATTAGGACTGTGAGCAAGAGATAAAAGGAAAAGAGATTATTAAAAGAGTCCCCATTTTATAAAAATATATAAATTCATTCATGAAATGTATCGTTTTGCAGACTTATTCTGATGTTTTGAATTCATAGGCTATTTTTTTTTTCAAGTAACCTACCTGTCTCCTGGTCAGTTGGTAAATGAGAATAAAAACCCAAAACTCTTCCCCCCCATTTTTTGGGAATGAGTCTTTAGAGACTTTCTCCAGACCACAATAGTTTGCCTTGATGATAGACCTGAAAACCTTGCAAATTTCCGTACATACCAGGGGATGAACTCGTTTCCTGAGAACTAAAGGAATGTTAACAGCATTCCCTTAAGGGCAGTTGTGATCGCTTGCTGTACCTGCCAGCTTCACTCGTGTTGAGCTGTGAGTAATGCTTTTGGAAAAGAGCTTTTGACAAAGAGCATGTTTGGGGGAAAGGGACCAGCATGATGAGAGTTAGAAAGCATGCAGTTTGAGGAGTGGCTGAGGAACTAGACCTGGTTAGTCCAGGGGAGAGAGGATGTAGGTTTTCTTGAGAGATCTTTGAAGGACTCTCAAGAAGAAAATACATAAGCTTGTATCACGTAACCCCAAAGAGCAGAAGGAGGATCCATAAACCATACAAGGGGCAGACTTGTGATCAAAAGTCTAAACATTTTCACAATCGTGGTTTCCTAACAGCAGAACAGGCTTCCTTCTCTGGAGAGTCAAACAGAGTTCAGGAGCAGCTGGGTGACCATCTGTCAAGTCCAGGGCAGGAGAGATTGAGAGATTGAGACACCAGACCGATGGCCCCAAAGCTTCCTTCTTTACTTCTGTTCTCTGCCAATCATGGTTGCTCTGAAATTGAAACCGTTCTGTGAGACCTTGCTTCTGCTACCAAAACCAGGCTTCTTAAGTAAGATAGATTTCCTTGACGCAAGATACAAGTCCACACGATTGAACATCAGTCCATTCTCTCCGGAAGAGAGACTTTGTTTGTCTCAGGGAATAGGAGGCGGAGGAACCCTCCCTGTCTCCTATGTCCCAGCTATAGTGAACAAATACAGTGATCATTACTGCTACATGTGGAGTTGGGGTTGTAAGGAGAAGGGGTGTAGGGGGCGCTGTGGTGCACCTCCCTGATTCCCCTTCAGTGCTGAGGCTCTCTCACCTGCTCAGGTGCTCAGGACTGCCCAGGGATCACCCCACACCCCTCCAGGGAATCCTCCTCCACTGACAAGAGCTGCTTCATTCAAGTTTGGCCCCTCTCCATGTGCAGCCAGCATCCCATGACTGGTTGATGCAAGGGTTCAAATGCCTGGCCATTTTGCCTCAGTTTGGGACAGTCCAACTGGCTGTCCCACTTCCCGAGGGTCAGCTGAGTTCTCTGTTGACCCTGCATTGTGGCTCATCTGCCTGCTCCATGTTGTACTGCCTCCTTCTGTCCCTCACAGATGCCTCTCCAAAGACCTGCTCAGAAATCTCTCAGCCTCCAGGGGTGTTTCCAGGGATCCCAAACTAAGACAGGTGGTGCAAACTGAAAAGCTCTACCCTAGTAGTGCATTCCAATGCCTTTATCAGCTTTAGGGGCTTATTCATTCATTGACTCCTTCCTTCCTTCCTTCATTCATTCAAGTAAAATGTCAGTTGTACAGCCGTACCAGGTAAAATGCTTAAGTTCTTTCCAAGGATAGAAAGATTTGGGTACCAAAATTGGCTTCGTTATTGTGGTTCTTTTCTCTTTGGATATTGACAACTTCTTCGATGGCTCAGAGCAGATGTTGCAGGACAAAGAACTCTGTACTTATCTCTGTTTTTCCCCTTCTTATGTTCAACTACTTCCAAAGATATTTTGCAGAGTTAGCTCTGCCTGTCAGGAGGTACTCTTGCAAGAGTAGGTGGAGAAGGCCTTTACCTGGACTTTACCTGGCCTCAAGTATTATAATTAAGTTTCCTCTGGGATTTTAGTTCTCTAAGTAACAAAGAGGTGGAAGGCCAGAGGCTCTGGAAGAGCTGCCTGGTAATTATAGAGCAGCTTTACTTCCTGGGTCACATTCCTTTTTGGTCCCTTTCTGTGGCCTCTAGAAGCATCACAAGGAAAAGACACCATGCTTTTCCCTGGGAACACAGAGGACTCAGCATGTTTCCATTTTGTCAACAAAAAACAACCGCATGCACGCCCGCACACAGCTGTGGGGGCAAAGAGTGGGGATGCTCTTGTTTCATGGTCACTGTTTTTGCTAATGCTTCCCAGTGGCTCTGGGGTTAAGGATGGGTAGATTTTTTAAAAATAGGTCATTTGTTGTGTGATGGGGCCAAGCTAAGTTCCATGTAGTTCCTTACCAGCCCCCCTAGAGTGAGGACTCCCCTTGTTGCTCTTCCTCTACCAGTAGGGACCTAGTCAGTCAGCACGTGCTCTCCCGTGCCTGCTGCGGGGGCAGCCCCAGAGCCCTCGAGCTCTTCCAGGGGCAGGTGCACCTGCGCTGGAGTTGCCTCTGGGCTGCACGGATCCATCCACCCTGACTCCATTCCTGGTTGGGCTGGTCCATACCCACCCTCACGCCTGCTCTTCTCATCCCTTGTTGACATACTGTCCTTTTGTGTCCTTGAATTAAGCACTGATGGTGGCACTGGGCCAGAGGTGCTGTTTCCCCCCCTTCTTCTCCAGGTGACAGCTGTACCGTAGCTGCTTCTTCCTTCCTGCCTGCCTCCCGTTGCCCTTGCTGTGAGCAGCGAGCTCGTGTGCGGGGGGGAGTGGGGTAGGTTGTCAAGTGTGCGTGAGCATGGTGAGCATGTGCCGGCACACACGTTCACTCATGCACACGCACTCAGAACCCTTCCAAGGGAAGGTGATATTGGACCTATCCTGTCACTTAAGGCTGAATTAGCCCTTCACTATACTCTTCCTCCAGATATAGAGAAATGCACTGACACAACAGGTGTTTTACATCTGAAAAAGGCAGCAATGGGAGGAAGGAGGTCAGACAACCTTAGTGGTGGATAGTCATCCAAGAAAGCACATTTATAAGGGGTTCAGATTGAATCAAGCAGAAAGTAATGCACTCTTCCAAGGATGCACACTTTTACTTTGTCTTTTTGCAATTATAATAGTGAATATTAATCATGCCATTTTTAAATGTAATGTACAGGGAGGGCCAATAGAGCATGTCCTAGGACTGAAGTGAAATGCCTTGGGGCAGATGCTCTGAGCCCATAGGTGATGTGAGCCTTTAAGCCTAAATACATGATGTGATGAGACACTGAATGCAGAAGGAATTCCTTCATGACACATATTGCACTGAACTATAATGAAAACACCTGCAATTCTTCCCCTTTGTGGTCACTTTTTACTTCTTCTGTTCCTTTCTGTACTTGGAGAAACTGCGATTCTTTATCTAGGAAGTGTCCTCCATTGTCTCCGCACAGCCAGCTGCCAACATGTGAATATGGCCTCACACACAGGCCCTGAGGCCCAGCAGATGAAAGGCGCAAAATCACAACTACTTTCCCAGGAATGTCCTTTGAGAATGGTTTAGCTGGACATGACCCTGATTCTGTTACATAGACCAGGATGCAGTGTGAGCCTTGCTACATGATCAGGATGGACGGTTTAACTTCGTCCTGGGGACCCAGCAAGCTTGTTTTCCCACACCCTCCCTTTTAATGGTTTAATTAAGACTTCATGTACAGAATTCCCCGAGAGGATAGCCCCCAAGGAAAGTCCTCATGTTTATAATCATAAGTAAATTATGAGGCACAGGAAAAAGGGAAATGAGCAGAAAAAGCAGGAGACTGTAGGGTAACCCGTCCATGTTGGAGAACAGGAACCAGCTGCCATTCTTAGAAAGAGCTTCATGGAGGAAGTACCATCCAGACCTCTTTGCTCTCCAGAGGCCATGTTCATTGATTCTCTTTCTCTCCCCATGCCCTGAATCCCTGCACCCTAGGAGGAAGAATGATGAGAACATAACATTAGAGACGGTTTGCCATGACCCCAAACTCACCTACCATGGATTTTTTCTCGAAGATGCTGCTTCTCCAAAGTGTATCATGAAAGAAAAAAAAGTGTCTGGCGAGACTTTCTTTATGTGCTCCTGTAGCTCTGATGAGTGCAATGACCACATCATCTTCTCGGAAGGTGAGTTTTCTGCTCTGAGGGTCTGGTGCCCAGCCTGGCTTGCTCTGTGATGGTGTCTCATGTCCCAGGTCCCGTTTCAGACTCCTTCCTTCTGCGGCTGATGCTGGAGAGTCAGTGTGCACTCTGTGGATAGGCAGCCCCTCACTTGGAGGAGAGAAGCACCGATCAAGTGCCAGGATTGGTTCTGACCCTTACCAAATCTGGCTCAGAGGGCCCACGTGATTATTTGGCTTGGGCAAATGGTTTCTTGGGCACCAAGAGCCGTGATTCTCAAAGTGCAGGTCCTGGAGCTGCAATAGTAGCAGCTGAGAACTGCGCAAATGCAGGTTTGGGCCCCACCCCAGAATTAGTGAGTCAGAAACTGGATGCAGGGCCACCTGTGTTTGAATGCGTGCTCCAGGTGATGATTCTGATGAAGCTATATTTTGAGGGTTGTTGGCCTAGAGGTTGGAGGAGGCTGTTTGGTACAGGATGAGGACTTGCTTTGAATGAACTCAAGTGGTTTTATGTTCACATTCCTAAGATTTGCTTAACAGGGACTTCTCATTGGTCCCATTTGAGAGAATAAATGAAACACAGATGGGAAATCATGAGCCGAGGTCTCTGCATGGCTCATGTGGGCCGGGGGAGGGATTAGATCAGATCAGGTGCTGGCTATGTCTTTGAAGTTCAGCATTCACTCTGCTTGAAGGGAGGGACACACTGTTCTTCAATTTAAAAAACTATTCAGTGATTTTTAATTACAAAAGTAGTCTGTATCAAAAGTTCAAACAATTCAACAGAATGTAAAGATGTTTAAATGAAATCATGTCATTAATGCCAACCCCTTACTCCCAAAGCAACAGATAATCAATACTGACAGCTTTTTGGGTGCAAACTGTCTCTCATTCACTCATATTTTTCCTCCCATCCTTTCTTTTCCTGCTCACCGTCTCTCTCCCTTCTTCTGTCCTTCCCTTCATCCAGGCATCTGTCCATCCATCCATTTTTCAGTACAGTTGATCATCCTATAAATATTATTTGGTGACATTTTTTTCACACAACCGCTTTTATTCCTCCTCCTAAACAAAGCAACACATAGATATACTGTGTGCCTTTTAATTTTTGTCTAGAATCCCATTATATAGATTATCTTTTATGACTTATTTAACCATTCCCCTATTGGTAGATTATTTAGATATCCTTAGTTTTCTACATAATGCTACATTGAATATCTTTGTAAAAATATCTTGTACATTTGCTAATATTTCTACAAGATAGATTTCTAGAAATGAAATTTCTGAATCAGAAGTTATACACATTTTAAATTTGGATAACCATTATTAAATTGTTTTCCTGCCCAAAAAGATATCTGAGTATATAGATTTCTATGTACCTGCTCTAACACTAGAGATTATAAGCCTTTTAATTTTGCTAGTCTGATAATGAAAATAATATTCTTTTGGTTTTAAGAATGTGAATTCAGAGTGGGGAAAGGTTGTTGGAGATAAAATAGGTAAGGGTTTAATAAAAAATCATTTTAGAATTCTGGGTCCACACACTGTCCCCATTGCTGCTACTGTGTGTGTCCCAGCTATGCAAAACTGCATCTCATTTTGTGTATGGTGCTCACCAGCACTGCAGACCCACCTTTTCTCTCACTGTGTCTGTCACCTACTGCCACTTTCCCTCTTCCTGTTCGACTTCTCACCTATGCCAGCTTCTCAGGGTGTGAAGGCAGGCATGTATATCTTGTCAGCACAATGCTTTCCAAAACCTCCTCCTTACTATTTTCTCATCCTATAAGCACTCCCTTTTTCTCATTTTCCTTATGTAATTTGATTTAGGAAGGAAGGTACGACTAAATTAAATCACAATAAAGCATGGTAATCCATNTGGAGATATATATATATATATATATATGTATGTATATATATAAAACATAAAATATATGTGTATGTATATATATAAAACAAAAGTGCTTAAAATGTTATACTAAAATTATTAACATGATTAATTTATCATATTAACTTACTATTAACAATATAGCTAATGAGTAAAATAGGTAAAGAGGATAAAGAGACACAAACATTCAATTATAAATAAATTAGTCACAAGAATGAAAGTAGAGCATAGGAAATAAAGTCAGTAATATTGTAACATCTTTGTATGTTGACAGATGGTAACTACACTTATTGTGGTGAGAAAATACATATATAGAGAGACATGATGTGTGTGTTTGTATGTATATTATAATACTATAATATAATATATATACATTATAAGCTCTTAGGATACTAATGATTTTAGTTCTCAGTGTATTTTCAACTCAGGTGATAATCATGGACCCATATTCATATTTTCCTTCTTATTCACTGTCAGACTGTATATTTTCTTACGAGGTAAGGTAATCACTATAAAGGCAATTTCTCGTTGTACAACTCAGCATAGCTGATGACTCAGGATGTCTGGGTGATTTCAGAGTCTTCTAAAATGTTCCAGAGGATGTTTGCTTTTTAAGCATCTCTATTGTCTGCAGTGGGCTATTTCCCCCACCTGGAACATCAGATATTAGGAGCAACACCTTGGGATCCATTTCTCCTCTTGCTGCCATCATCTCTTCTTTATACTAAGGAATGAAAAATTTTGAAGCAATTTTTTATTCCCTACTCCCCGTCAAAAAATCTGGTAAATACAAAAGCCCTGGAGTGTTTTATGCTATATTTTTACTAGTCCAGTGCTCTGTGCTTATAGCCAGATTTCTGATCTGTCAACACAATAGATGGTAATTACTCACATCTTCCATTTTTCTTATATATGTAAGGGAAAAACAGTTGAGCTGGAAGACTTTCTTTTTAAATGTAGATCTTTATTTCTGGTGCTGTGTTGAATGGTAGCTGACATTCAGAGAGAATGTGCCTTTGCTATGTATGGTCCTCAGGCCTTCCCATGACATAGTGTCATTTATTCTTGCAGCCACCCCATGAGGAAGACACTGCTAGTGTCCTCATATTATGGGTGAGAAAGCGAGGCTCTTAGAGAACCTTAACACTTTGTCTAGGATCACATGACTAGTAAGTGGCTCAGCTAGGATTTACAATGAGCTAGGTATGTGCTAAAAAGTCTGTGAGGGTTTTCCTTCCTCCCTTCCTCTCTGTTGTCTTCTTTCTCTCATTCTGTCTCTATCTAAACAAAAATATATATACACATATTTAAAAAATTCTAATGTACAAAAGGGATACAGTGAGAAGAAAGTCTTCCTTTGGTTTGTCCCCCAGTTTCCCTGGCCATTGTTAGCCTTTGATCTAGTCTTCCAGAGAGAATTTGCTGCATGGAATTCTGCATGAAATCCTGAATTTGGTAAAGCATATGGTGACATTTTTTTGAAAGTCAGATTCTTTGTTATATCATTTACATAAAATAAAATTCACTCTTTTAAAATTTATAGTTTGCAGAAATGGGACAAATGTATATAGCTATGTAACTGACTATAGTCAAGATACAGGATCTTTTTGTGGCTCCCCACTAAGTCCCCTTAGGCCCTTTTGCAATCATTACTGGGATTTTTTATTCTCATTTTTTAAATGTGGTTGCTTTCTTCCTCTATTTTGTGATTTTCATATTAGTAATTAGCATTGCTGTGGCCTCGGTCCCCTGAGAAATGGACATGTGGGGTGCCCCCAGCCCTGGATGAAAAAAATGCCTCTACAGGCACCCAAGCCTAGTATACAAAAAAGGGAACAAACGCAAGCCCTGCATCATGGAGCTCAAACTCTCCCACGGCATGCCCGGTGTCCCTGTGCTGTGCCGTGAGTGATCTCAGAGCATGGCAGACGGTTTGAGGGGAGGAAGGGCTTCCCTGTAACCCGCAGTCTTCCCATCTCCCCCCATTTCAGACTCCTGGAGGTCAGTGGGTAGTAATGGATTGCACGCCTATTGTCCTTTGCACCTTGTCGAAGCACCTTCCTTTTCTTTATGTACATGAAAAATGTACAGAAACTGCATGGAAGATAACTTTGATAGAATAGGAGGCCCAGCCAGGTATTTTGATAGAATAGGAGGCCCAGCCAGGTAATGGAATTACTATCTCTAGGTGATGAGGGAGAGGAAATGGGAACCCAGAAGTTAAGTGACTTGCCTGTAATCATTCAGCTAGTTAGTGGCTGAGCTGAGGCTACAGCTTCTGTCTCCAGCCTGTTGGCAAGGTCGTATTTCCCCAGTAAGGGATTTGAAATCTGCATTCTGAGGGGATGTCAGGGCTGCTCTGAGGACCCAAGGAAAAGGGATTGAGTCAGGTCTTCTTACCCCGCTGTGTATACCGAACTTAAGTAGAAACTATGGATTGCCGAAAGGTGTTGTCAGCTTTCATGAACTTGAATCCATTGTTCTAGAAAAAAGGAGTTAAAGAGACCTTGCTCTCCTTCTCTTTGAACCAGGTACCTACCCTTACCCCTAAAATCCCCCAGCTGGGCCCTGTTCTGTGCCCAGTTACTCCTTTGCTCCCCTAGAGCAGCCAAGGCAGGTGCAGGGGACCAGCTAGATGAGGCCAGGGTGCGATCTCCAGCTACCTCCATGTGCTGTGTCTGAAGAGTCTCTCCTGTCAAAAGATGTGCAGAATTCTGAGGAAGTCACTCTCTATCCCTGGACTCACCAACACCTAAGATTCCAGTTTGGAGAGAAGATGTTTGTATTGGTCCTTATTGGTGGCCTGGTGACAGCTGTCAGGCTAGGCCAGTCAGACTCCAGGACTACAATGAGCACACGATGGGGAGGAGGGACTCCTGAGCTAACAGCCATCCCGTTTACTTGCAGATGACATCACCACCTTGCAGAGACATTATGTGGCTATTGATCTCTCAGTGAACCTTTAAGAATCAAACACAACCACTCAGTTTTATTCATGTCATAAGTGATTTCCAAATGCAGTAAAGACATTTAATTCGCAGAGCCCTGGGCAAGGGGATGATTACTGTATCTGCTGTTTTAGTTGAGAGAGAGACAGTCTAGTGTAACTGTTTAAG